GATTATGTTATTAATAACAATAATAACAATAATCATATCAATAACAAAAATAATAATGATAATGATAATAATAATGATAATAATAATAATTATAATAATAGAAAAAAATAGTGATGACGATAATTAAAATAATGATAATGATAATAATAATGATAATAATAATAGTAATACTAATGTTAATTACGATAAATAAAATAGTAATAATAATAATAATAATATTGATAACAATAATAACGATGATGATAATATAATGATATATAACTCTCTCTCTTAAACACACACACATACACACACACACATACACACACATATATATATATTAATAGCATCATCACGATAGGTTTATATCAATATGTACATTTATGTAATTGTGGATATAAATCATACACGTGTATTTTTCTTTTTTTATAGGACAGCTATTGTAAGGAACGAAGGCCGTAAAAAGTTCACCTGTGTCTAAAGGGGGCAGCTGCGAGGTCAGTAGGTATCACGGGAGGATAAAGACGGCGAAGGGCTCTACAGAGCATTAATCTCAGCTCGCCTTTAGCAGCGCCTAGATGTCCGGACGCAGCGGAGGACAAGTGCTTCGTCATCTACGCTGCGTGCGCACCCGAGAGATGCGGGGGTCGACCTCGGCCGGCGGTGCTTTAGGGTAAATGCATCACTTGTTCCACTGTACACTATATCCATTCATAGAAACACACATGTAGATATACATACATATATACACACCCGAGCCCACGACACTTGCAGACAGTCCCAAGGCTACTATGAAGTGACTGGTTCACACATAGAGTTCAAACAACGTTTAAGTCTTTCAAAATAACAAATGTTAATTATCAGAAATGTAAAAGTTTGTATCCTTTTAAAACACTAGCACTTTAGGAAGGATGTTACAAAAATACGTCCTATAAATTCAAAGCCTTTTTCAAGTAAAACCGATTTTACTTTTACCAATTTTTCTGCCTGCGTGCATGGTGTGGGCATATTGGGGGGGTGGAGGGTGGATTTTATAATTTAAGAAAGTTTCCCTTGTTGCTGGATTGGGTTATTGGCAAAAATACATTGAATTCGTTCATGAAAATTCTCACTGTAACTCCTATTGACAGATGGCGTGCGAGAGAGCAAAGGGGAGGAGAAAGAATGCGAGTCGAAAAAAGCTGGAAATGGAACAGGGAGGACACAAGAAAAAAAGGGTGAGAGTATCAATCAAAGCAAAGGGGTATAAGAATCACAGGTAAGCAATACCTTTTTTATTAGTATTTCCTCGTCAACTCTCTTTTATTGTATTGCCTTAAACTGCATTTTGTTAAACGATTCGACTTATCCTAAGTGTGCTTTCCTCGTGTCTTGGTGGTGGCTACGAATATGATGGTAATAATGTAGTTGGTATTATCAAAGGCTTTTTTTTGCGTGAATATGACCTTCTCTACGTGTGCTCTGCTTGGTTTTCCTTTACTCTGTCTCTATTTCCTCTCCAAATATCCTCATGGATATTCTAACAAGCGACTGCCACAAAATTTGTCGATATCGACTCAAAAGCCGCGTTTCGAAGAATCACCTTGACTGGCCAGACAAGAGCCTCTGGTTTATGACTCGTGCTCGGTCTGGCTCACAACCAGACTGCGCTAAATTCAGATTTGCTTCGAACACGTTTTAATTATTATTTCTTTTTTGCAAGTGGACTTGATATTGACATATACATATGGGGTAAGTGTATACTTTTATATCCATTCACTCACAAATGCATTATTAAAAAAAAAGTTTATCGTGAAATGTTTGGCCTGTTGACTTTATCATGTTTCTCACTGTAACATGACAGTTCTGTGTTCAATTACTAAATGTGGATGAATGCGTCACGTCCACGACCGATCTCAGCCTATTGTCCTTCATTTACCACTAACTTGGTTATTCCTATAGAATAATATTTAAACCATGATGCGTCGCATAACCTTCTCCTTAGGAATTCTATATTCTCAGTTCAGCATACATGATATTAGTCATCATATAGCGCACCTTTCACTTACGTTTTGATGATCAACTGAGCTTTTTCCTTATCTTGAACAGCGGTATTTTTGTTACTTTTAAGTGCCTTGCTACAAACGTGATTCTACGTTGCTGATGCTAAATTCTGTGTTTTCTTTATTACCACTTACCAGTTCCCACCGAAGCTCCCACTACAGCTGCCCCCCCAGTTCCGGTACCATCATGGAGTTACGAGGGCGAAGGAGGTAAGCAAAAACTCATGGCATTAATGTCTTCCGTGCAGATAAAAAATTTGATTTCCCACAATGGGTATCTGAACGCAATTGGTTGTGGGCCCGCGCTTTCCTCTGCTATAGGTTTATAACGTGGAATTCCTAACCCCGACATCAAGTTCATCAAAGTGAAATTTAAGGGAAGCTGCTTTTCGCCTCCTTGATAGTTGTATTTGTCCCACTAACAGGCCCCGAGAACTGGGCGACGCTGTTTCCCAATTACTGTGCTGGCAGCAGTCAGTCCCCGATCGCCCTGAATGGACTCGAAGCCACTGGCAAGAGCTCCTCCGACGCCTGGGTGCTGGACAAATACGACACCGTCCCCGTGGATCTCAAGATTGAAAACAATGGACATTCAGGTACCATACATTCATACTTAAACACACACACACACATAATCATGTTTATGATCTTACATTACCAAGTCTAATACGAAGCATATTCTTTTTTGGGGATTCATGGCATCTTAAAACAATGAACACCATTGATAAAACGAATTTCGAAGAATCACTAAATTCAACCGTAATTGTTTCCATAGAGATCATAGCTAACTTACCTTCTTTTTATATAAACGTAGAGACCAGTATTTTGGATCCAGTGTGCGTTATCCTAAGTAATTTAAGAAGCCTGTTTATCCTTCCTCTTGCAGCTAAGGTTGCGTGGAACATCACAGACGTCGATGAGCTTCCCTCAGTCAGCGGCGGAGAGTTGGGCGGAAAATACACTTTCGCCCAGTTGCACTTCCACTGGGGCAGCGTCAGCACGCAGGGATCTGAGCACACCATCAATGGGATCGCGTGAGTTAAAGAAGGATTAAAGAGTTTCAGAAGTGGAACTTTTCAATGTACTGATATATGCCACGAATACTTCACCTGCATATGAATACTGTTTGCATTTCCGTCTAGATACGCTGCCGAGCTTCACCTGGTGCACTTCAAGACTGAGTACGGTTCCCTTGGCAACGCGGTTCAGTACGATGACGGTCTTGCTGTGTTGGGCATTATGCTCCTGGGCGGTCTGATCGACAACCCCAATCTCACCCCGATCATCGACGGGCTCGCTACCATCCAAAATTCAGGTTAGTACAAATAACAACAGGATTACGAGATTAAAGTCTAGGGCAGTTTTATCCGGAATGTGGCGTCTTTTTAGCATGCTCTCATTTGCTTCATAAGTAAGAAACACAAAGAGCGGTTTAACCCAAGTCTTATTTGATGATAGATCGCATCACACAAAGGCGACACAGGTTCGCCTTCGGAATTTATATCTGCCTACGCTTGTAACGATTTCTACTATCGGTCTGACTCCAGGTGACGAGGAACACCTGGCAACAATGTTCCCTCTCCAAAACCTCCTGCCGGCGAACACCAACACCTTCTACAGGTACTCAGGCTCCTTGACGACGCCCACATGTAATGAGATCGTCACTTGGACTGTCTTCCAAGACGTCATAACCATTTCCGAGAATCAGGTTAGTGCACCAGGAAGGGAAACTGGGGAAATCCACAGTTACTTTATAATAGAAGGGAAATATATGTAAAATGGATAATCACGATATCAAATAATCCTAATCAACTATACAAATGATGACATACTCATCATAAGTATAACGAAAACTATAAAGATAATTCTGACAAGCCTAGGTTTAGTAGGTATAAAGGCAATATCAGTGCTTTAATGCTGCCTGTTTTCCCCCAGCTTGAGGAATTCCGCAAGCTTCTCGGAGACGACGGAGAGCACCACATTGTCGACAACTACCGCCCTGTCCAGCCCCTCAACGGCCGTACGGTGAGTCAGAAGAAATGGTAGAAAAAGAGGGTTACAGGGAAAAGATGAAAAATGTTTTATCAACAGAACCACTGCTAAAATTCTTGAATTCCAGTGAATGTCAATGTCTTAACAATAGTTATGCTTCTCCTCAGGTCGAGAAGATCACCTTGTCTTAACTCTTCCTGATGTCCACCGGCCAAGAATGGAGTGAGAGACGGAGAGAGGGAGAGAGTGAGATGGAAACAGTCTAGTAATAATAACCTCTGTGTTTAGATATAAGCTTTAGGTGAATATAGGTGTATCTTCCTTTTTTCTGGTTTATTCTTCTGTTTTATGGTTCCACACTTATGCAACAGTACAAATCGATAAAGTTCACAGGTTATTATTACCCGTAAATAAATACTGAATATGTTATTATTACCCGTAAATAAATACTGAATATGTTATTATTATTATTATTATCCTCACTCCGCTGTTATTATTATTATTATTATTTGTGTTATTACTTTTATTATTATTATTATTCCACCAACATTATTATTATTATTGTTATTATTATTATTATTATTATTATTATTATTATTATTATTATCATTGTTATTATTATCATTATTATTATCATTTTAAATTTTCCACTGTCATTATTGTTATCATTATTATTATTATTATTATTATTATTATCATTATTACTATTATTGCACTGGCATTATAATGGTAATAATAACAATAATAATAATGATAATAATAATAATAATTATTATCATTGTTATTATTATGATAAGGATGCTGATGATGATAATGATGACAATAATAATGATAATGATAATGATGATAGTGATAATACTAATAACACTTAATAACCATCGATCATAGTAACGGCAAAAAGAATGAAACAAAGTTATTGAAAAATGAAAAAAAAAATTGATAGCATATTCACTGAATGAAGTGAATGACTGATATCTATTCTCTAAGATGCCTTACACAGTCTTTATGAAACGTATGACATGCGGTAAGAAACAAGGTTTTTTTGTACACAAAAAGTTTTCCTTCAAGTGATTTGTTTATTAAAATTTTGTATGAATGATGCCATAATAATCTCTCTGTTATGATATAATCTTATCTGCTTATCAAATGACAAGTTTGGTGACGAGTTAATATACAACTGCCTTAGTTTTACTAATGGCAAAGGACTAAGATTGAATAACCTGAATGCAGTATTAAATGTATTTATTATTGTTAATTACTGCAATTGCTAAGCTATGAATATAGATGATTAATACTATTTTCATGCTTGAAACTATGATCATCAGAAAAATGAAAATGAAAAAACTGCAACTGGCAGCCAATCAAGCTCACCCAATCAAATGGCACATTTATGGTCAACCTAACAGGAGTACAACGCGGA